TATATATATGATTTTATTTACATACAGCTTTCATGGGCAGTTATGTATAAAGAAACAGATGTACTTTTATAACAATAAGCACTGAGTGTGTTAACCTTCAGCAGCTCATTCTCTAGACAATACTTTCTTTAAAGACAGAACAAATTTTGGGGTCAACTTAACCACAAGGCAGATATGTAATGTAAAAGCGAGGTCAGAGGTCAAATGTAAAAAGGTATTTTGATTGTGATATCAGAATCCCCATATACCCGTATCACTTCCTGTGTATTACCAATGCAAACAGAGGCAGCAGGACTGTAAGCATAGTTTTAAAGATGAAAGAGATTTTTGAAACTTTGCCTTATTTGACTTTAAAGAGGTCAGAAGTCCAAAGAAACATGATATTTAGATTCAACCATCCATCATTCCCTATATGCTGTCAATGCAAACAATGGCAGTGAGAAACAGTTTTAAATAGCTCTATATAGCATTATTATTACTCTGACCTTCAGATCGATCAGTCTATTGATTTTGAAGGAGAGGTCAGAGGTTAAATGTCACATATCAATTTAAATCTTTATTCTGTACTTTATATAGCTTGACAATACACACCACGCTTGTAAGAATCATAAGTTATAAGACCTTGTGTCAATTTTTTACCAATAAATCATTAAGTTGACTTTGAAGACATTGGTGGATTTAAGACACATTTTAATGGATTGTAAGAGGTGCCCGCTGTACACCCCTACAAAGCTTCATGAGGATCAGAAAGAACACAATCAAACACCGCCAAAAACATAACCTCCTTGGTGGTAGTAATAAATAATAGTACCTACCTGATGAAGGTCCGAAAGGCAGTGGGGCCAAGGCGCATGTTGCCCTTCACACCAAGGAAGCGTATGAAGAGAGCTGCGATTCGCTCCACTAGCCGCAGGTAGTTGAACTGCTTGGAGTACTTTGGGTAGACCTGCTTCAGACACAGCGAAGGCAAAGTTCCCGTTTCATCTTGGCTCTTCTCTTGTGTTTCTTCTTCCATGGGAATCTCTTCTCCTTGTTCAAACCCACCGACCCTCTGTTGGGGACTGTTGGTGTAGAGTAACAGGAAAAAAACAAAGAAAAGCAAAACAGCTTTAATTTAAATTAATGAACGGATTCATTTTCAAGCTTGGTGAACATTAAACCAACAAGGTGCAGATACAAGAAAGAAATTCAAAATGAAAGGGTTGATTTCATATTGACGAAAAAGTTGATACTTGTCACTAAATTTGGAAAAGCAAATAAGTTAAATTGGTCGTTTGATAGAAGCAACATGAGACTCATCCTCCATCGGGCTATACACTGTTCTCTATTACTCAGTAAAAACATCAACTCAATTTCAACCTTAGGTGATGGACGAGCTGTGCTTTTAGAAGTTCATTTATGATGCTTTGAATTAAGCAGACCAACATAAGCAGCACTCATAACAGTTTACTTAAAGTGACCAAAAGAAGTCTGTGAACCTTTGATTCAGTCCATCGACCTCCTGTCACACAAAAGCTGGATCAGAAAACAGTGTACTGAAGTGCTTCCATGCAAGCAATACAGTACCAACTTGTTATCAACATACAGACTAAAAACAGCCTGAATAGCCTGCATGTTGCTTTATAACACTGGTAATTAAGCTGCAATTCAATTTTATTTATACAGCGCCAAATCACAACAACAGTCACCTCGAAGGTCTGTATATTGGAAGGTAAAGACTACAATAATACAGAGAAAACACCAACAATCAAACCACCCACTATGAACAAGCAGTTGGTGACAGTGGGAAGGAAAAACTCTTAACAGGAAGAAACCTCTGGCAGAACCAGGCTCAGGGAGGAGCTGCCATTTGCCACGTCCGGTTAGGGGTGAGGGGGGGGAGACAGGAAAAAGACACACTGTGGAAAAATGGTCCATTAATGGTCAAAACTTTAAAAGAGCAGAATCCTGAACATGAGTTTTTTTCCACTGCTAATGCACGTTCAAGGTGCCCAATATTTTATCAGATGAAAACAAATCTGCTCTTCTTTCAGAAAACAAGTGACACCAAGACTAATCCGTCTACTTTAAAATCTCACATCCTTCTGCTTGTCAGACGAAACAATGAATATATGAATATTAGATAAATGGAAAACTGTGATGGATAATAGATAATAAATTCTTACATTCATCTGTTATAAAGATAATCCTTAAAGAGAGAAAAAAGTCAGCTATGATTAGTTACCATGCTGCAAATTCAAAATCCGTCATGTCATGTTTTCTCCATTTTAATGTCACTCTGTCCCTTCTACCAGCTATCCCACTGTAATATTCCTGAGGGACAGGATGCCTTTTACAGGGAATTAACGTAAACTGCAAGGATTGTGAGTTTCTGTCCTTGGGAGCTTTTTTGGGTGTGTACACACTGTGCTTGACTGACAACCTCCCTTGCTCTCACCTGGCAGGTCAGAACAAATTATACCTTCATCATTCCTTTTTGGAACATGAAGTGCCGCGACCTTAAAACACCCCTATAAAAGAAACTTAACTAAAAGCCAGAATAAGTAAAGAACACCTGTGCGAGTTTGCAGCAGGGGCTAAAAGCAGAACTGCAATCGTGTGCATCAAGAAACGCATACAACAAAAGGCAACACTCAAGGGGATAAGAACACCGCCGACTTTTTATGAGGCTGCTTCGTTCTCCATGAATTAGTAAGCAGTGTGAATGGCACTGAGCGAGCGCTGCTGAATGTTTAATAGAATCAATCATCCCTCGAAGCCAGGACGCCACCCACATCTATTTAGACGGGACAGGCTCTGCTAAAAACGGACACGTCTTCAACAGAAGCTGACAGGCAGACAGACAGTGAGGCGAATGTCTACAAACATTCCTGCAGAGGGAGAGAAAAGCTGATGGGTGGTGAAGGAGGAAAAGGTGAAGAATGGGAGGTTTTTAAAAAAAGACACACAGAAGGCAAAGCGTATGTACCCAATTTGTTGTCATTAACTGACAATGGGAACCTTTTTTATCTTGATGTGTGTGTGTGTGTGTGTGTGTGTGTGTGTGTGTGTGTGTGTGTGTGTAAATAATTAGATTATCAGAAAGCAAGCCTTTTCTTCCGAGGTTTTCCCAGTAGGAAAGCTGGAGAAAAAGCCTCAACTTTAAACACAATTCACTTCCCTCGATCCAACTTCTTTCCTTGTATACAGATGATGCTTTTCTAATAATGTGCCTCGCCCGCTATTTTAGGTATGGCCACAGATCTCACTTTTTTTTTTTTGTTCTCGCTGCACTCACCTTTCATAATGGCTCATAAATCACTCTCAGAGACATCATACATAGGATTAATGAGCTGGGGGAGAGAAGTGCATGTCTGAGAGTCACTGATACCATCACCCAGTTCTTCTTAGAATTCCTCATTTATCTCTTTGCCCTTCTCTCCAAAATGCCACTTACCCCCCCTCCTCCCTCCAACTATTCTGCCATTTCATATTTACTTTATCTCTCTTCTATAAGCCTGCCTCGATCATTTAAACAGCAACACAGCTTTTGGGGTATTTTTTTAACTCACCTGCTGCTCTTTAGCGCGTGTGCCTGGTCAGCTCCCCCTGTCATTACACTTCATTTTAAACCAGTAAAATTCATACTTGGCTGAATTCAGTCTGAACTCTGTGTTCTGACTGACTGGATCTCATCCATCTCACTGCAGGCCGGCTGTCAGCAAACACAATGCACGTATTTTCTTATTGGCAGACCATCTGTGCAGTAAACAGATTACTTAACCTGCCGTAACAATCTTTGCGCTCCAGAAAGACTGCTTGTTAATAAATCTCAAATTCTGCAGGATTTTAGAAAAAGAGAAAGAGAGCGAGTTCCCTCTGCTAAAACACCAAATCTGTATGAAGCAGAAAGGATTTCTCTAACAAACCTATAATCCACTAGATTCCTGAGATTTTTAATTTTGAGTAACTGTGACTTCAAAAACTTCAAAATACCAGCCAAACCATGATTAATTCCTAGTTCTTAATGTCCATAAGTATATTACTCCAAATGCCATTTTAGACTTTTTATCCAGCATCATAAATAACAGTTTAACTGGCAAAAGCACTGGAATAAGTATTATCAGATACCGGAGCACCTGCATAGTCAGTGTACAGTCATAGATCAGATTTGACCCGTTCAATGCATTTTACTTTAGCAGGACTTTCTCCTGTTACACTGACTAACTGTTTAGTTCCACATCTGTCCACTCGAGTAGCTCGAGACACCAACCGTCTGCCACCTACAATCCACATCTCCACAGCGTCTCGGATGAGAGCTGAAACATCTTCAAGAAATGTAAAGAAGTTCAGTCGCTTTTCTTTCCAAGCTTCTTAGACACTAGTGGTGGGCTTTCCGGCTCTTTTTAGAGATCCGGCTCTTTCGGCTCCGAACCGGCTCTTCAGGTTGTTTTGTTGCTTTAATTATTTAATCATTAACAATAATATAAAATTATGCAGAAAAGGAATTACTAATGTAAAAAAAAGTGGTTTTATTTATATATGTTTATATATGGCCCCTAGAGACAAAGCACGTACAAACTCTAAAGCATATACAAACTCCAAAAAGCACGTACAAACTCCAAAACACATTTCTAGCGTTAACTGAACTTCCAAAACAGAGCTACCCAGATCACTTAAATTACACAATTGAAAGCATGTGTGTATTGTGTGTGTATTTATAGACAAGCACTCATATTTATTCAAATAATTTAAAAAAAAAATCATTTACCTGTTACTACCACACACCAAATCCGGTTGTTGATACTTCCTGGCTTGTGTAGCCACTAGGTAACAAAAGCTCAACACTGCGCCCTAGCATCCTGGAGCACTTCTGTTGTCTTTTGTACGTGATTCTGAGTTTGTACGTGCTTCTGAGTTTTTACGTGTTTTGGAGTTTGTACGTGCTTCTGAGTTTTTACATGTTTTGGAGTTTGTACATGCTTCGGGGTTTGTAAGTGCGTCTGAGTTTTTATGCGTTTTGGAGTTTTTACGTGTTTTGGAGTTTGTACGTGCTTTGTCTCTAAGGGCCACCATAAATATACTTTATTTATTCACTCCACGTAAAATGTAATAAATAAATCATATAATACAAAGAACAACTATTTACATTTTAAACTTTTAACTATTTAAATTTTCAGCTTTTTCCTTTTAAACAAATTTAACGTGAAACAACACAAAACACTGCAAACCACAACACAATTAAATATAAATTAAAATATGAAAACAAAAAGAAGATGCATATTCTCTGTCATATGGGCCTGCATGATTTCTGAATCCTTTATCATGTGCAACTGAAAATAGTGGATAATTACTATACCTTTCTAATGTGACGTTGTTGTCCCTTGCTCTCTTTCTCTCTGGCTCTGTTCCTGTGCTACTGCGAGTGTAACTAACGCCCCTCCCCCCTCTGCCCAGCGCAAAGTACAGGCCGCGCGTGCGGAGTTTAGCGGAAAAAAGGGCGAGAGAGAGCGTGAGAGAAGGAAAAAAAAACCCTCACGGCTCCCAATAAGGAGCCGGCTCGCGTCGTTCACTTCAAAGAGTTGGCTCTAAGAGCCATTTCGTTCGCGAACGACCCATCACTATTAGACACCATGACCTGGATGACTGAGAACCTACACAGACATACTGGCATTTAATGTGTTTGTTTAGTTTGTTTAAATCACAGCAATCGCACTGTGTGGAGCTGAATGATTAAAGAGTTCAGTTTTTGCAGCTGTGTTGTTGGCTGATGATTACATTTTTCGGCGCTGAGCCAATCTAACGGCTAATTTAATAAACATTAGCAATGGCTAGTTGGGACATGATTACCATTACTCTCTCTCCAACCACAAGACTTTGTCACCATTTGCACAGCTGACAGAACAATTCCCTGTAATCACAACGTAACTTAAAGATACTCTGAAACTTCTTGCTTCCTTTTAATTATGCACCATGGTTGGATAACTGCTGTTAAAATAATCACGTGCTTAAATAAAATATCAGGATCATTTTATTAAGTTTTCTTTGGTGCTGATTTGAGATATCTTTTCTGAGATGTACTTAATAATTGACTTACAACTTTGTTACTGGTACCCAGCTGCATGCACATACTATTATGTGAAGTTCTAAGGGTTCTGAGCCAATATAAAACAAGCAATAATGTGCAAAAGTCTTGACCCACCCCTCTCTTTTCTTTGCTAGGAAAATGGGAAGTATGTGCAGCAATTTACTGAAGTGAAAATACAGCATGTAAGGCAAAAACAGCACAATTCTAACAATATTAATCAATAGTTGGTATGACCACCTTTACTCTCGAGCACAGGCCAAACTCTCTTAGGCAAATTTCCTTCTCTTTTCTTTTAGTCTTCAGGAATATCCCACACTGCTACAATAATGTTGAAGTCTGGGCAATGAGGAAGCCAATACATACCTGATAGTGCTCCATTTCATTATTTTTGTATCCAGGTATGCTTTTACTGCACTCACAGTATATTTGGGATCATTGCTGCACTAAGGGATGAAGTGGATTCATAACTCCATTAGATCTGTTGCCACTGATTTTCAGTCCAGTTCTCGTCTAATTTGGCGTAACCTCAGCCAAGGACATGACTTTCAGATACTGCTCATCTTCTGCAGATAGTCTTTTATTCCCCCAACTTCTTTTGTCCTTCACTTTTCCAGTTTCCTTCCTTCAATATATAATAATGTGTATGGTGTAGTGTATTAGCTCAATGAATGAGTTAAGAACACGTGCACAAAAATAGAGCAATGCATGGGAATCTAAGATTAAATTTAAAATAGGCAAATCACATTAACATGTTAGTGGTCATGACTTTAGTAGTTATGTGGGCAATATGCCTAACCAGATCTTTTTAACTTGCACAACAAAGCAGAATTTCCGATAAAGAAAATAATCTGAGGAGGAGAGTAAAAAAAAAAAAAAAGGTGAGGGAAGGATGGGCAAAGTGAGAAAAAACGGAAGAAATTGAGATGGTGGCCGAACAGAAGCTGTAAATCCTATTGTCATAAAAGAAAAACAGACTGAGGGTGAGAAAACAAAAAAAAAATAAAAACCTAATGTAGGAGGGGATTTATTGTCAGGCACCACACAGGGCCAGTCAGCCAGAGAGAGATTGAGCCACCAGACTCGTACAGTAATGTGTGAATTTCCACCACGGCTCAGCTGAATTTAATTTTTCCATTTAACAAGCTCAGGGAGAGCTGTTGAGCAGTGCAGAGCAGGACTCCGAGGAGGG